ACTATAAATAAACACATCTTACTAAACCAGACTTACACAGTCTAATTTAATTACCTCTACTTAGAACTACAGTTATTTTTCGAAATAAACCAAAAGTTACAAGTGAAGGATATTAATATTCAAATATGAAATGTGAGAATTGTAAATTTAGTTTTTTGTACTACATTTGATCGACTTATCTTTACGAGCCTTCACCAAAGTATGTATTGAAGTTAAAAGAAAAAAAACAACAAGAAGAAAGAAGTAACGAGAGGTATTTCTGTATTAATTAACAACATCGTGAAAATCCCATTATTACTTAGAATATCTTGTGGTAACGATGCGGTGGATGACTGTCGTAGTTGTTCTGCTTAAGAGGTATTATTATATAGGAATTATACCATAAAACAGTCAGTGTTGTGTTATCTCGTATCGTTATGTATATCCCTAAGGCGAGTAGTAAACATTGTATTGTACAAGGAGCCCTAATGATAACATTCCAGTTTGTCTTCCCCTGAACTATTTTGTGCAAATTAGCCTTGATCCCTCATACATTTTGTTTGTTTGTTTTAGAGCAAGGCTACATTTGGCTATCCAGCTGAGTCCACAGCGTGAAATCGAACCCCGAATTTTAGCATTATAAATCCTTAAAATTCCCGCTGTCCAACCGGGGAATCACTAAATAGCTTTGTTAAAGAGGGCTTTTCGGTCTCAAACTGAAATACGTGTTATTTAAGGTTTTTTGGAACAATTTTTAATATATTTAATTAAAAACATAACCCATTCAGGTGTCAATAACACCAAGTGTGAAACACCTGAAGTCAGAATAGAAATCAGTGGTGTATGAAAATAATAGCATTTCAGATTTGATCTGCTCGTCATGAAGGCCTTGTGACAGATATGACTTCAATCATTCTCTGATAAACTTAATAAGCCACCTTGCCCAGCCATCTTAGACGTTTTATACCCTAACAAAGTGTGTAGTCTACATTTCTAATTACTTAAATCCATTCCAGCTTTTATCTAGAAACAAACCCTTTATCAACTGTCGTACATACCAAACCACGTGACTCCACTTCTTATACACGGAGCTTAACATTGTGTTGTCGGTTGATCTGTGTCGAGTTATTTCTTGAAGAGTGTCTGATAAATTAGATATATATATCAGATTTTGACACATCGTTGTAAAGTTTTACTTCCATCACTCTATTAGCTGTTATTATTTTCCCAGATGATTTGCTACCAAACTATCACCTTTCACAGTGTTTATAAATGTAGACACCTTTTTATTTTAAAACCTTGGAAATATACATAAATACGAAGAGGATAGTAACAGTTGTTCGATGTTAATTTTAAATTTAGTAACTGTTGAGCCCCCTAGTGGCGCAGCGGTAAGTCTGAACGTTTATACCGCTAAAAATCGGGTTTCGAAACCCGTGGTGGGCACAGCACAGATAGCACACTGTGATGAACAACAGCGCACAAACTGTACAAGTGTTAATGAAGATTCTCCTTACTGCCACGAGACTCGTATCATGAAATAGCGCGGAATGTTTCGGTGCTGCCACGTGGCTCGTGCTTAATGGAGCTAACAATGAGATGTACTATGTTATCTCTTGGGGTAAAAAAAAAAACTACCTACGAAAGCAGATATAAATCAAAAATGGTCGGTCATTAAATAACCTGAGGAGTAGCGAGTTATTCTTACACACGCGGAAGAATAAAATAGTGCAATGATAACGTGGAATTTCTACTGGCCATACAAAACGTAATGGAGTAAAAAGAAAAATTCAAAAGTTTTAGTTCCCAACAATATTAAATATACAAAAAGTGTTTCCGAGACAGAATAAAGCAAATTAGAAGTAAAAGTTTAAACGTAGTGAAGATTTGAAGATAAAATTTGCAATTTCTTTATCATTGTAGATGAATCTGAAATTACTCTCTGCCAGTCTTCGGTTTTTAGTTAAAATGTGATTTTTCTTGTTGATCAAGTCGTAATACTAGTACTTTTTTGTCGTTTAAACCTTAATCTCAGCACCTTTTGTTGTTTAGGCCTTAATCCCAGTACTTTTTTGTTGTTTAATCCTTAATCTCAGCACTTTTTGTTGTTTAGGCCTTAATCTCAGCACTTTTGTTGTTTAATCCTTAATCCCAGCACTTTTTTGTTGTTTAATCCTTAATCCCAGTACTTTTTTGTCGTTTAAACCTTAATCTCAGCACCTTTTGTTGTTTAGGCCTTAATCCCAGCACTTTTTGTTGTTTAAGTCTTAATCCCAGCACTTTTGTTGTTTAATCCTTAATCCCAGCACTTTTTGTTGTTTAAGTCTTAATCCTAGCACTTTTTCTTGTTTAAACCTTAATCCCAGCACTTTTTCTTGTTTAAACCTTAATCCCAGCACTTTTTGTTATCTAAAACGAAGAAAAATAAAAGAAAGTTTTCAAACAGAAAGTATGCAGCAGCTGGAAACATTTTATCAGACAGGTGAGCTATGACAGCAATAGTCCTATAAAACATTAAAAGGGTTCATTGTGAGTTATGACAGCAATAGTCCTATAAGGCATGAAAATAATTCTTTGTGAGCTATGACAGCAATAGTCCTATAAAACATTAAAAGGGCCTCCCCTTTTGTCTTGCTGTATTTGATGGTGAAATCCATAACAAAGTAAAACCCATTCTACCGATACAATATTTATAAAAGTAACTAACTGGTTCTTGCAATATCTCAAAAGAAGGAAACTTATTATAGTTGAACCTGATGAGAGAAGAGAGGAAACATCAAACAGACGTAACTAACTAAGGTATTTCGAGTGCATGGAGAATGTGCCTTCGAGCGCTAAGCCTTTTTATTTCTAATTGGACAAATAGAAAAGTTCTACTCGTCTCACTTTTAATTAAACATCAACTTCAAAAGAGGGCTTCGTTTGTAAAAACAAATTATACAATAGCTGTTCATGTCTAGATGTTTCCGGAATTACCATCTGATTAAGTCATATCATTGAAAGAATATATATATCACGAATCGTCATGATGACCTCAACTTTCACACAAATTATATCACGAAGTATAACTACGTCCGCGATTGAAGGTCACTTGAAAAACCAAAACACTGACGTCTTGGTGCTTATCCAAGAAAGACTAAAGTAGAAAATGTGTAGGTTTGATTGCAACGTTTCGCTCTACTGTAATCTATACAGCGTTTCTCTCTTTATTAATTAACGCAACATCTCGTTCTTCATTAATCGCCCTAGTGGATAAATATGATGTGTCTCCGAATATTTCTAAATTATTATTTTTTTCTAAATTCAAAGAAAAACATTAAAATCAAAATTATCTTATTTTAAAGAACTACAGG